AATAATTTATAGTATTATTTGTATTAACAAAAAATGGGGCCCCATTGGACTTCAATAAGCCCTAGGCCCAAAAATGTAAATCCACCCGTCCTTGGGTAACCTCATTTAATTTAAGTAACTTTGTGTCATTTTGAAACTAGTTCAGTTAAACTAATTCTGTTCATACTATGACTGCTTAACTAGTTTAATGACTTAATTCATTTAACTTTCCTAGTCTAAATATAGTATAAGTCACCTCTGATTCTATAAATCCTTTTACTTTGTATAGGAAAGACCAACAACTATAGGAAGATAACAATTGAAATTGATTTTCTTTCTATATTTATTCAGAAATCAGTTTATTTACTCAGTATTTCCCTATTCTAATGTATATAAATGCAAGATATAAAAAATATTTCACAAATTAATAAATTATTAGCACACAAGGCATTTACTGATGACATTTTGAATGAAATGATAACTAATTTGAAAAATATTAACTAATATTAACACTTTTGACATAAGCTACGTCTTTCACCATCCTATTTCACATCTGCCACATTATCAATCTGGTATGGTTCTTATCCCAATAAATTTTTTACTTTTACTGGCAAAAAATCAAACCTATAAAGCTGCCCTTTACTAATAAAGAAACATTCTGTAGTTCCATCTGGTAAAATTATAGCTCTGAATGAGGCAGCTGGAGACCCTTATCAGAGCTGTAAACCGGGTCCATAGGAGTAAAATTAGTAAAAGGAACTGGTCTACATGCAACCCTTTGTGTGGTATAGTCCCCTGAAAACAACTTATCTGGAATTTTGAAGACTCAAAAATGTGGTAAAAATCTGGAACTATTTCTTAAAACAATGCTAAAAATCAACTGTTTTCTTCTTTGTTAGAGATGGTTCGATAAAACTCATAAAACACAAGAAATGAATTGGACTATCTCCAGGGCTCAATGGGAGTCATGCCAGCTGCCACGTTAGGCCTATCATACAGTTACAGGCCAATTTCTGGAGCTATATCTCACAAAGAGTCACATGTAGACCATCAGTTCCTTCAACATTTTTACTCTTATATGTACAGGGCTGTATATGGTCTACAGCTCTAAAGCCCTAACCATACCATTCAGAGCTGCAATTTTATCTTTCATCATTTCAAAAACTGCATAAAGGAGCTCACCCTACCTAATGGCACATTATCCTATAAACATAAAAAGTATAACTGCCCGGGATCTCCCATCAATCTTGTGAGAAGCCGGGGGTCAATGGATATCAGCTTAAACCTCCTTTGATCAGTGACAGTCTGGTGAAGACTGCTCACTACATCACTGGATGGCTATTAAATATGGTTGTCTCAAGATTATTAGACCGTGAGGACAGTTTTTTCTGACACTAGTTAGGATCAGTGGAGTGCTGTCCTTGGAAGCGGTGGAAGTGCCACTTCCCTTGTATTTTCTAAAATATGAAAATAATCACACAATATGTATTTATATTTGAACGTATCTTATTACAAATTTCTATACTACATGTGAAAAAAAATGAAAAAACAATAAGATTGCTATTGTATATGGATATTCCCAATGGAAGTGCTGTATTGTAGAATACAGGACAGCTTCCATGACGAAAATATTTGAATGGTGTAAAACAGCCAGATGATAGGCATTCGCACATGTGCTTTACAGAGCACCAACCTCATCATGTAAGCTACACATACAATGCTTTCAATGATTCTATCCAGGACCGGTTCTAAGCTGTTAACCACCTGCCTGCTAGATACCTGGTCGCCATCGCCCATTATGTGAACCGCAAGTAGATTTATAACTTAACCAGTGGCGTGCTGTCTTTGGAAGCGGTGGAAGCGCCGCTTCTCTTGTATTTTCTAAAATATAAATACATATTGAGCGATTATTTTCATATTTTAACATACTTTAAATAAATTAAAATTAATATTTTATTATAATTGCATTACGTATCTTATTACAAATTTCTATACTACATTTGAAATTAATGATAAGATTGCTATTATATATTCGAATATCAGTGGCAGAATGAATGAATAAATCACAAGTAGATTTATAACTTAACCCACCGATAGGAATTTACTGGTAGGTTTTTATGATAGTTCTGTATAGTTGACAGCAGTTTTAAAAAAATCCATTAAAATATTTGATATATTTATTCTGCTCTCCCATCTTCTATTACTTACAGATTTCAATGTTAAACTAGTGATATTACGATTTAGTATGTTCCATCTATAAGGGGATGCAGAAAAAAAACGTGTACAATTCTTGTACAATGTTAAAAAATTAACTGTTACTTTGGCAGCAGCATTTACAACTAAATTTAATGAATGGGAGAGATGCACGAGGTACAAAAAAAGCCCTAGAATTTATATTCCTTAAATTTACGATTTATATATCCATTGTCATAAAAATTTGTCTTTCCACTACTTTCCCAAGACTACAAATATTCATGTACAAAGTAACCAGTTTCAACTTTAAAATATAAAATAGAATAGAAAACTTTAAAACATAGAAGTAACAACCGAGTTCCATTTAAGAAGTAGTTAAATAATCAAGAAATTAGTGAATTAGGGACATAAATAAAACTCTGCTGAAAGAGCCAGAATTTTACTTAAACAAAAGCTTAACCAAACCAATCTCTAGCAGAGTACAGTGGGGACTGATTTCTTCATAATATTAGATAATAAAGACAGATAATTTTTCCAGTTCAATGAGAGTGACTGAAAAGTTGTAAATTTTGGAAATTTCTGTAGACACCTAGTCCTAAAACAAATTACTTAGAAAACAAACAACGGACAATCTATTAAGTTTTATATATTTAGATTTTTACAGCTATCATGAGAAACATTTAAAATTTATAACAATCCTGTCACGTCCTTTGAGGTATACTAGTGATGCACCAAAAGAGGCATTTGACATTAACCAGTATCAGCACCCTGGGAATTTGGCAGCCCGCGTGGATGCACCTACCAGGACCGTCTCCGATTCCATCCATTAGCCACTCATAGGGAGCTATTTGACTAAGTGGATTGTTTTAAGATTTAAAAAGTATAGAATATTTTGTTATTTTTATGTACGTTTCTTTACAAAGTTATATTTAATTATAATTTTCTTTAAAAGTATATTCATACAATTGAAGAATATTTTGTACCAGGTACGTATATCCACCACACATTTTATTTAACCAAGTAAGTTTTTATTATTTTATTTATAATTTTAGCCCTTATATCATGGCTAGCAATTCAGAATGTAATTCTGATATTAAAAATACATTTAGAAAAGTCTATGGTTTTTACTGACTTATCGAACAAACGAATACAAATGGATCCTAGACCATCAGTGACGCACAATTAATTGATTGCCCCTGAAAGTTGGCTTTTTACAGAAAAACAGCTTCCCTATCATCAAATGTCATGGCACGCCACTGGTTAGGATAGTTTAATTCACATCCTAACTCACAATTATGCAAAATTATCAGCAAATAGGAGTGCTATAAGTCAAGTGGGGAGGTCGTGATTAAGTTGATAGGGGACTGGTTCAAACAATTGAAGTTAATGCCAGATGAACTAAATAAATAAATTTAATATACAAATAAAGCGATCTACAATATACAGAATACAGTTAATAAACGTATGCTTGGTTACATCGTTCTAGGGAGGCCTATCTATTTCTGAGAGAGAGTTTACATAAATTGGGTAATTATCATACATATTTAAAGTAGTGACTGTTGTCTAGGCAGTAAATTATCTGTGGAGGACTGGGACAACACTTGCACAATTCACAAAGTTAAAGATATTCCTTAGGGACTGATCACATTGGAGTTAGTGGTCACCTGATCTATGGGAAAATCCACCTTGGCAGGAAGGGAGTCTTGGTGAAATCTGTCCTGAAGGTTGAGTGTGCCATTATATCCCCATCTGGTGTGGGAATTTAGTCAGGTGATTCGATTTTGGTCATGCTGACACTCCGAATGTGTCATCAGTAGGCCAGCTAGGGTGGCGAGAACTGGACTTATTGTTCTCTTTTTGTCACTGAATTGTTTAACTTTCGACTTTCTCAAGCGTCAATAATATGTTGTTATAACTTTATTTTAAAACTTTCTCAGATCAACGAGAGGGGGAAGGGACTTGTTGTGTCAAAGACTAGTTGATTGTTGGCAGTTAAATTAACTTTCAATCGTCTCCTGTTTTTAACTTCGTGGGAAACGAATGGGAATAAAGAAACTCGTCTTTTTGTTAAAAATTTTAAAAAACAGCTCCCAGATTCTCACAATCTTTTATAAGATTTCCTCCAAAGAAAAACATCCAAAGTCAACATCGTATGCGAGGCTCCCCAATTCAAATTATCTGAACTCCACAAAGCTATAACACAACGCTGGCTCTACCCTGAGCTCCGCATTGGCTCTCGACAACCCAGTCTATCTCACGGGCCTAATCATCTACTCTAACTCTCCAATCAGACAAACTGATCCGACATACACAAATGTACTAAAACAACATTCCACAACGAATTTCATAAAGTAATAAATTCCGAATTTACTCGACCCAGTTGCTTCTGAATCATCGAATAATTATAACATTCCTGGTTAAACAACCTTAAATCAACTATTTTAATGTAAGTGTTCATTACGTATTTCAATATAACCACTTAAGTTTGTATATTTTTGTAAATTAATCTGTAAACAGAAGGATCAACCGATGAAATTCTTGTGTAATTTACTAATTAAACGGCATTTTCTTTTTATGTAGACCATATTTAATTGCTCCAGCTGTTTATTTCTGTGTCTAAATGGCTTTACGTAACTCCAATAAGTGGTAAGACGTAACTACGAAGATGATATCGAAAACACTTTAAATCAATAGGATCATACTCATTTTATCTTTAAAAAATCATAATAATAGCGATAATAATAAAAGATATGCAAGTTAATAAGGTTTAAATGTAAAATACACGCGTTTTGACGTTAATTAAACTTCAGAAAAACCAAAACAATTACCTCACTCTGTCTCTCAAATGAACCAAATGATTTTCATTCCCCCTTCTCTTCATTTCCGATGTTGATAATTTCGTAACCGGTAGTAATGACGTAAGAGTCATCTGGTGGTGAAAAATGCATTTAATTAAGATATAATTTTTTATCGTCTGCTACTATTAGTATTTTCCGTTGTAAAATTGTATCGGTGCCAATCATATTATATTGAAATTCGTTATTTACTATTTATTAATATATTAATTTAAAAATTAATAAATTTAAATTAATTTTTTGAGTAATAAATTTGAGTAAGAAACTCGTCTTTTTGTTAAAAATTTTAAAAAACAGCTCCCAGATTCTCACAATCTTTTATAAGATTTCCTCCAAAGAAAAACATCCAAAGTCAACATCGTATACGAGGCTCCCCAAGTCAAATTATCTAAACTCCAAAAAGCTATAACACGCCGCTGGCTCTACCCTGAGCCCCGCATCGGCTCTCGACAACCCAGTCTACCTCACGGGTCTAATCGTCGACACTAATTCTCCAATCAGACGAACTGATCTGACATACACAAATGTACAGTACAGTAGATGGGTAAGCGACCGGATAGCCGAGCGGTCAAGGTGGGAGCCTACCGCTCTGAGGGACCCGGGTTCGAATCCGAATGGATCGAAAAATCCCCAGGAATTTTTCGGGAGGTGGTCCGTTCGGATATGTCGGGCCCCGTCCCTCACCACCCGGCAGCCCAATTGTGGGCCTGGCCGAACCCATAATAAGTCTGCTTTAAGAGGCCCTCCCACTGCCCACAGGGCGGAAAGAGTAAAAAAATAGATGGGTTGGTTCGAAGGCCGGATGGTCGAGCAATTAAGTTTGGCAGCTTGCCACTCTGGGATCAAATCTAGACGGGTGGAAAAATCCCTGGGGGTGGGGTCCCACAAGTTTGTCTAGCCAAAGCTCGGAAGGCCTGTTTTATAGACCTGGCTCAAACTCATAAACGGCCTGCAAATAAAAAGGCTCTCATTAGGGCGCATTTGGAAATTGTAGCGGTATTACCGGTAACTGTCGGTAGTTACCAAGGCGTTTAGTAAATACAGTATGACCTAAATCACTGCGTTGGTTGCCCGTTTTCCAGCAAATACATTATTGATTTCACAGTATAAACTAAACCAAGATGAATTTTTCTCGTTTAAAAAATTCTATAAGTTCATTTTCATCTTTTGATGAACTTGTCGAATCATCATCGTCATATGACTCTGGATCATATTCGAGAGCAATGATAGAATTAATATCATCTCCTCTCGACTTTCCGCCATGTTGAACACCACAAAATAACCAGCGTGTTTATGGCTGTGTACACATTAGGCGTTTTCAAACGCGCGCTTTCGTAACGCGCATTTTAAAGAACCAAGAGTTCCGCATAGGTACACACTCAAACGCGAGTTGATAGATTTTAGTTAGAACGCGCGTTTTGCGGGTGTCAGCCGCGCCCTTTGAGATACATGTGCTGCCATGTTGTTGCACATTCGATCGCGCGCTTTCGGGTAGAGTAGACACACATGGGCCGAAATGGAGAACGATCATTTCGATACTGATCTATTTATTGATGAAATCTAAAAGAGACCAGCCATCGTCAAATAATTTTATAGATACAGTAGACCCCCTATAACACGGGTTCCTATAATTACGATTCTTATAAGACGGCGAAAAAATTGCGACGGTATCTGTACAAACCTGGTAAAAAAAACGCCTATCATTCGGTAAAACGTCATCGGGCAGCCGAACTACTTTCCGCTGTCCAGCGCCACGCTACGGAGAATTTAGGCGGGTAAATTGAGTTTACTAGCGTTTATACAGTATTATATATAAATTAGTAATATATAATTATATATTATATATAAATTAGGTACTGTATATATAATTATATATTAACTTAATTTATTGTAACTTTATTATAATTATATATATACTTTCTGCCGTCCAGCGCCACGCTACGGAGAGTTTAGGCGGGTAAATTGAGTTTACTATCGTCTGTACAGTGTACAGTTAACAGGCAGTTTAAATCTC